ACTGGAAGGGCATTCTTGGACACGAGGATCCATGTTATCGTCAACTAGGCCAGGCTGTGGCTCGATCCAGCTGATGGCCATTACCTGTCTGGGAATGTCGCGCGAAATGTCTTTCCCCTTGCATGCCATCTGCACTGCCCTTACATAGCAGTCGCGAAATGTGCGCTGAGATCTGCTTACTTCCTCTATCCCCGTCGGGGTGGGGAACTTCATCTTAAGATGATAGATCGAAGTGACTGCCTTAAAGCTTCTTAGTAGAGGTCGCCCTAGGATACCATTGAAGGCGGAGGGGCAATCTACTACCAAGAATTCGGTGACCCTGGTCACTTCGTCGAAGTCACCCAGCGTGACGAGAAGCAAGATCATCCCCTTGGGGATCAGGTGACCTCCTGTAAAACCATATAGGGGGATTGAGGCGGGCTTTAGGTCAGCCTCATCCAAGTTCATTCTTTCGAAAGCTCGCTAGAACAGGATGTTCATAGCACTTCCGTTGTCCACCAACATCCTGTGGACTTCGCAACGCCCTATTTGGGGCGTAATGACGAGAGCATCATCGTGGGAATGATGCAATCGGACTGTGTCTTTTTTAAAGAAGGTGATCTCCTTCTCTTTGCGAACCTTTGATGGTCGCTACATCGTGTTTATCACACGGATAAGGTCGTGATGGGCTTCACGAGCATATCATTCCTGGGCACCTCGTGAGTTTGCCCTGAGGTGTGGTCCCACAAAGATTATCCCCACGCTATAGATACCTTTGCGATCACGACGCTTCTTGCCCGGTTCCTTTATATTTTTCTCCCTTACGGGAACAGAGTCATCAACGTACTCTTTGAAATGCCCTTGCTTGATAAGATCTTCGACTGCTTGCTTGAGAGCTTCACACTCATCGGTGTAATGCGTATTGTCCCGATGATAACGATAGTACTTTTTACTGTTCCTAGCTAAAGGGGGATTTTTCATGGGCTCAGGCTCTTCGAGTAGATTAGCCTCTTCTGACTTGTTAAGAATTGCCAAGACAGATGCATTCAAAAGGGTATATCGATTCCTGTCGCGATCGCAATGAGGAACGGGAGCATAAGACTTCTTGGGCTTAAACCGCTGTTTCTTTCCTTTTTGTTGATCATCGTTAGCCCATTGACGATCAGTCCTCCTATTTTCCCCTCGACTTGGCGCACTGCCTGAAATGCTAGGGTCATGGTGGTGGAGCGCCGCTACAGAGTTCTCAATACGGAGGTATTTCTCTGTAAGGTTGTAAAAGCGGGTAAGAGAAACATCATCCTCTGATTGTAGCTCCTTCCACAGATCTGTCTATGGACAAACTCCTGCTATGATGAGAGTCAGACGGACTCTTCGGGAGTGTAAGCTACTTTATGGAGCTCTCTATGGAATCTGTCGATGTAAGATTGGAGGGATTCATCTCTCTCTTGCCTTATGTTGTTGAGGTAGCTTAAAGGCATTGAAAACTTCCTGTTCGCTTGGAAGTGTCTCAAGAATGTCAAGCTCATTTGATTCCACGAGCTAATCGATCCTCCCGAGAGCAACCTGAACCATCGTTTGGCGTGAGATTTAAGGGTCACTGCCAAGCATCAGCATTTCGCCAAATCAGAAACTTGATGAAGTTCTATCAGGTCGTTGAACTCATACAAACGATCCTGCGGATCAGAATTCCCATCGAACGCTCGCATATCGAGCATTCTGAATCTAGAAGGGAGAAAGACGACTAACACAACCGTAGAAAAGGGAGATGCCTCTGTGATTTGACCTCGCTCATTTTGTTGAGCCTTTAGCTGATCCAAAGCTCGCTGCAGCTCTTCGATTTGAGGTAGCGACACTACCTGCGGATTACTTTCTACAACGTGGGTTGACCCTCACAGTTACGCTTGAGGAATGACTGTAGGTTGGATTCCTTCTCGCCTCTGCCGGCAGCTCTGGCCAATCTTGACACACGCTGGCTAGAGCCATGTGATGGAGTTGCATGATTTGGGGAACTTTCACGATTTCTGCGGTGGTGCAAACCGACCCGCGAGTGTGGTAACTTCCCGCACGATGATTGGAGTCGTCATTTCGGCTATAGTGGGAATTTCCCCGCCTTGCACTTTTGTGGGAGTGCTTGCGCGATATGGTATAGGACAGCTTGATCTGTGACCTGTCACCGAGTCTTTGCGCCACGGGTATTCTACCCGGGGTGCGGTCAGTGTTTGCTGGTCCTTCGGAGCCTCTAGGGCCATTGTTCGCCACCTGTTTTCCCTTTCTTTGACGTGCTATAGTGCGCGCGACACGGGCTATCGCCCTTTTCTGTGCTTTCATGCGACCTGTAAGTGTTTTTGGTGGTAGCACTACCTCATTTGATTGGGGTGGTGCAACCCGATCCAAGCAGTCCAACCTTTGGTTAACCGTTTGGAGAGTATTGTTGAGCCTCTCCATGTAGCTCATGACGGTTGGATCGAGCTGTGAGCTTGAGGGAATATCCCCCATGAGATTTTGCGGAACTGGGCGAAGTGCCCTCTTGCACCTGGGGGACTTCTCCCTCACCATTATGGGGTCGCTCAGATTCGAATCTGCAAGCCATTTACTGTTTTAGGACCGATTAGTCAGAGATTCTCCTGATGAAGGACGAATACTAAATCAAGTCCTCCTTTTAGCGCCAAACTGTTGATGCGTGATTTTGACACCAACTAAACGCACGTATGGAATGCTGAGCTGGGCCAGAAATCACACGTGAATGAGGGTATTGAGATGAATAAAAAGATGAAGAAACAATGTTTAAAGTGGTTCGGATGCTTAAACAAGCGACTCCTACGTTGATTGATATTGTATTGATATGAGGGGTCAAGTTGCATTCAGCAAGCTGACTTACAAGTGATTACAAGAGAGAGAATAAGCTAGTACAGAGAGAAATTAGCTAATCTAAAGTGAAATGAGCCAATCCTAAAAAACGGGAGATGAACCCTCTATTTATAGTGGGATGAATTAGAGTAATGATTACAAAATCCGTAAAAAGGGGGCAGATACCGTGCAAATCCTTCTTTGTATCTCGTTGCTCACCTACTCCAGTGATTTCCTCGTTTTGTGTAGGGATTGGACACGTGGACGGCCTTTGGCCTTTCATCAGTCTGGCGCGCACCTACTGCACTGACAAGAGCATGCTACTCACGCCAACATGCGACGTGGCTGCATCTGAATGGCTGTAGGATCTGCCTAGACTCTGATTATTTACACTGACTGGGCTCTGTGTCAACCTTACTTTTTCAAGCATGACAATTCTATATTTTCACATTTACAATTTTGGACTTTTAAACCAAAAAGTTAATACGATACAAGACATTTAAACATGATATTTAGTTCACGTATAGATAATTATTTGTCTTATTTTATGTATAATTATTTTTCATATTATTATATCAAGGTTACATTATTTAGTAATAATATATATCATAATTAACATCATTAAAAACTCTTATTTAAATAAATTAATTCGTAAAATGATGTCACCTAAGTAATTGGCCTAGTTAGTAAATTCGCGTTTTATACGCGAATTTACATATTTTATCAAGGCTACCGTATAATTCGCGAATTATTGCAGACAAAAAAATCATGGAGTGAAGAGCCAAAAGGACGTCGTTTTGGGTGGGGTTTGACTAAAATTAAAAGATTTTCTCCTTCTCTTCTTCCTCAGTTCTCTTCGACAGTTCTTCATCTCTTCTTCAAATCTTCAACAGTTCTTCATCTCTTCTTCAAATCTTCAACAGTTCTTCATCTCTTGAGTCTTGATCTCTTCTTTTCTTCTCTTTTAACTCTCTCCCCCAAGCTTCAAGTCCAAGACTTCTATTTTTAATTACGGTTATATACTATAATTTGAATCTTGGTTGTATTATTTGTGTATTTTATTTGTTTTAAGCTCTAATTTGATTTTGAATTTTGGTTTTGTTATGTGTTTGATTTGAGACTATAATTGAATCTTGGGTATATATTGTGTTTGAGTCTATAGACTATAATTTGAATCTCAATATTGTGTATTTGTGTTATGTTGTTAGGTCTAATGGTTATTATTTAATTGAATATTTTGTATTTGAAATGTTATATTGATTTTAACTAGGTGGTCCATAAGGGTGTTCAAAAGCAATTAACCGAACCGGTTTTTCAGTTCAGGAAAATTTCCAAACCGAAATTGAACCGATTTTTGGGGAAAACCCTATTTTATTGGATAAAACTTTTTTTTTTTTAAATTTTTTTTCCTAAATTAAATTGTAAACATTAACAATACATATCCAAATAAAAATTAAACATTCATATATATATATATTAAAAATTAATAATATATATTTTTATTTTTATTATATATATATATATATATATTTTTTTTTTCCCTAAACCGGTAATCAAATCGAAAATCTGGTTTTTTGAATTTTTTGAACCGTTTTTTGGGTTAACAGGTTTTTTTGGTTTGGTTTGGTTTTTGTATTTTTTTTAACACCTTTAGTGGTCCATGAAAAGTGTTAAAATCAAGATTGATATTGTCGTATTTTTTAAAACATATTATTGACAATATGTTGTATTAAATCCGTATATACTCATACCACATTTTTCCCGTATCGAAATTTTATGACAGAATTTTTACAAATGTATTTTTCATCATTTACCGTATCATACCTGTAAAATTCTCATACCTTTTTTTTGCCGTACCCTATTACTAACTAGGATAATTAGTTTGTCCAACACCCCAGCAACGATCTTGATGACTTGATGTCCCACAATGGTGCAATTCACGTGATAATACTCTCCATCCGTAGAAGTAAAAATCAAAACCGTTTATGGAGGGAGAGAGAGACAGAGACAGAGACAGAGAGGTGTGTGATTTGTTTATACTGTATTTAGTGAGAATTGAGAAACACCATTAAACGAGTGAGTTGATAAAAAGAGAGTAAATTTTCAAATAATTCTCTCTTCTACTTGCGCGCCATTTCCACAATTTGAAAAAAAGCGTCGTCGTTTTATAAACAATGACACAAGAAGTTCCTTTTCCGTCTCCTCTCGAACGCACTGTCGCTTCAGCTCTTCTCCTTCTCTCCTCCCCCGACCAACAGCCACCTCCTTCTTACTCCTCTCCACAGTAAATTTTAATTTCGCTATTCAAATATGTTTATCTTTTTGTTTTTTGTTTTTTTTTTTGAAGTTTCATGTTGTTTTACGTGCAGGTTCGACACTGATGGTGAATTGTTGCTGAAAAGCAAGAGCTACAGCGACGAAGAGAGCGTGAGCATGAACGAGAGCTTAGCTTCAAGTAGTAGTGGATCCAAACGCTCTGCTTCGTGGCTTACCAGTGAAGCTAGCTCTGATGAGATTCGAGCTCACCAGCTTCGAATCATCGCTTTGGTGGCTCGCTGTCACGAAATGAAACTCAAGGTATACTCATCTCTTTGGTTTAGTTTGAGCGTTTGTGTATTTGGATACAATTTTTGGCTACTTCATTCTTCTATTGTTTTATTTCTCGTAAACGATTTGATTGTTGTTTGGTTAAGTTGATATACCTCTGTTTTTAGTCATTAATTATAATGTGATTGATCTTTCTTAAAATTTGATCACTGGCTCTCAGTTGGATTAGCTTACAGGTTCTCATTCTGTGTTGCTATGATAAATTTTCACTGTTGAACTTGCTTTCTTCTCTATTTGACAAGTCAGAAGAATTTGAAGTCCAATTTCAATAGAAAATTACCAGAATATTCAAATTTTGTTAAATGTTTGAAATATTGTTTTAAATTTCTAGAACATCTTGATTTGAACGCTCTAGACGATCATACTTTGTTCAATTTTTCCAATCACGTTCCAACATGTTTGTTTTAACTTGGCTTTTAATTTTCCTTATAATCAAAATTTGAAAATTCTAAAACTACTCCTAGGTCTTGCGAAAGAGTCGCTCGAAGATCAGCCGGAAAATCACAGTGGCGAAGCCGCCGCCGCCGACGGTTAAATCAGTTTCCTTGGAATCCCTGTCAACAGAGGCTGGATCCAGCTTGTCAAGCAGCGCAAGCGCGGTCACGAGCGTGCGAAGCCCGTGCGTGAGCGAGAGGAGGCAGATGATGGTGGCGCTCACGCGGCGGTTCAAGATCCAACGCGGATGGAGATTTCCAGTTGCGCTGTCAAGGCGGTCAGGGCGCTTGATACTTCAGATCAGCTTTTTTTTTTTTCCGTTGTATGAATGAATGAGAAGTTTCAAAGTCAAGAAAAAAAAAAAAAAGAATTCACACAACAGGAATATTGAAAAATTAAATTTTGACCCATTCATTGTATCTCATTGGTTCATGAAGCAAAACGATTCTTATTGCGTTCAAGGGATTTACATTATTTTTTTTCTTTATTCTTTTGATTCCCACTCGTTTTTAAGCGTTATTTAATTCTTGTGGCCAATAATTTTGATTTGGAGCGTGTGGTTGTTGAGGTTTAGAATTATAAAATTATCTGTCAGTCGGTGCCGTTGGTGATTTTTCCCAATAAGATCTGTACAATTCAGTGAACATGAATACTTTTGTTTTTAGAATAATTTTAGATTCACACATTAGGTTTCTTGGATGGATCTACCACTGGAGTAGATTTTTATTGAATTGATTATTATAATGTGATATCGACGTCAATTCTGAAACAAAAAACATGGTTCATGTGCGATATATTATGGGTTCACAGTTCACACATCCGCCAAATTTAGAATTAAAAATATAGCTCTTGATTATAACTGCCCAATTTGTTGGTTGCTATCAAATTTTACTGCTATTAAATTGTTTATACAGGAATGTATTCTTAACTGGATATGTTAATTACTAGGGCTGTGCAAATCCGAATATCCGATCCGAATAGGACATTTTTTGATCCGATCCGAATTTTCGGATTAAGCTATTTGTTGATCCGAATCCGATCCGAATTATGTGGATATCCGGTTATCCGGATATCCGATTATTCGGATCGGATATCCGAATTTTATCCAAATTTTAAGATTTCCTTATTAAAATTTAAAACCAAATAATTCAATCCTTCATTTCATTGGGCGTTCAATGAACTACAAACATAAGCAGTTAGAATGTGTCACATTTCATANCGCGCGAAGCCCGTGCGTGAGCGAGAGGAGGCAGATGATGGTGGCTCGGGAGAAGCCGAAGAGGAAAACAGGTGGCTCAACTCACATTCAGCGGCGAGCTGATGCAATTTTGAAGCTGCTCTCTTCTGGCGGTTGTTCCTCTGAAACGAGGATACGTCGGTTTCTCGGTGACAGTCCTGACACCAGCAAAGCACTCAGAATGTGAGTACCCTGCACCTTCTCGTTATGAGTTAACCTCTTGATTGGATCGTTTTAACCGTATGATCGAATATTTATCTTTTTATGTCCATCTGAGGGTTCAAACGAATCCAATCAAATCATGTTGGTTCCGCTATCAAAAGTTGGTCAATTGCTGACATGGCAGCGCATATGTGAGGGAATTGCTACGGACTCTGAGAGTCCACCGCAATAACAACTTTTTAAAATTTTGGTAATTTCTGTGTGAACCCAAAGATAGTGTTGAACAGGTCACATCGCAGGGCCAATACTGAAAAAGGATCTTGAAACCAAATGAAAAGACAATCTTAACTTTACTATTTAATTATTGAATATGGAAAACCAATCCATTTTTCTTTTATATATGTATAAATATTTCTTAATTGCCTTCCTTGCTCGTCTTGTCTTATGTATTCATTTTAATTCTTACCTGGTATATATGATTGTACATAGATGACTGAGGGATTTTTAACCTTGTTGGGTTAGGGTTAATGAAGAAGGATGAAGTGAAGTCCAGTATGGTTGGTTGTGTTAATTAATAAAACATTGAAGAGTGGTTATGACAGTGACTAGAGGTGGTGATTTGTTGTGGGATAGAATTGAATTTGATGTATTTCATGTCTGCAGGTTGTTGAAGCTGGATGAAGTCAAGAGATCTGGCACAGGAGGGCGTCAGGACCCTTATATTTACACGGTATTTATGGTTCCTGTAATTTTCAGTTTGCTTCAAAATTAGACTTAAATAGGTTTAATAATTGATGCTTCAACAAAAGAGTAAAATTTGAAAGGAATATATACTAACATATTCTTAGGAAATCTGGGTTCTTAAATTTTGTAGTACAAGCGTTGGAAAAATCTGTTTCTGTATAATTGAAAGCATATTACGTTTTGCAGATAGCATGAGTAATTAGAGAGCAGACAGCAGCAAGAGCTGGGTAAATATATAGAGATTTGGCATCCCAAAAACAGGCAAATATTGATTCAACGGATGGCCAAAAAAGACATTATAGCAGTTGATTGATTTGGTAATATAGTATAGATCCATTGTCTTATTTCTACTTGGTTATCGTTTATAATCAAATATTACTTGCAAACTGTAAATAAAAACTCAAAGGGTCTCTATAACCAAACTTTTAATTGAAGTAATTTTCAGTGGAAATGTCTGTCCATAGTTAATGGCAATTTCCTTATTTTAGTGTGTTGCTGAAATTTAGTTATTTATTTTTGGCTTTCTCTTTTATTTCTGCTGGGAAAATTCACTTTGGTACATATTCCTGGATCAAGTAACCAATTTAGATATACATATTCACTTGAATTGAAACTTAGAACTGCTTAATTATAAGCTGTAATGGTATTAGTATAATTTCAAAAAGATTCATTACAAAATTCATTAATAGGTTGTGTCTATATTTTAGTCCAATCAGAATTCTTCATAATACTATCTAAGAATAAGATTTCTCAATAGGCCTGGGCCAAGTCTAACGGGCTGAATGAGCGGCCATTTCTTATGGTGAATGGCCATTTTATAAAGTTTGTTATGTTGTAATTATTTTATATTAAAGACAAAGGGTGCAAAGCCTAGTAGAGATTCAAAAGGCAGGCAGCAAATTAAAGGGTTGGCGTTGAAGTAAGCGACCCAATTGCTTTAAAAGTAAACATCAACAATCTCCTCCTCAACTTTGATAACATTTTTATATGATCGATGCTTTGCTTGTAATCATGAAATACCCAAGGAATTTCGGAGATTCGCCCAATTTAATCTTTGTTTATGCAAATGATTTCTCAACTGCGTTAGTCTTCAATTGTTGACCTAATCCCACACCGCAAGATTAGTCAAATTGGCAACTTTTCAAAGTGCCAAACCTACCTTCTGGAAATAATTCAATATGCTTATAATAATATTTAAAAATCCTAACTACTTTTGGGTAACTTAGCGGTTTACTTGAGATTTTTAAATATATTACTAAAAAAATCTTAAGTTTAAATCTCCACTATTACTAATAAGGAATATTCATTGGAGGTTTATTTGACCGTTAATTTCAAGGTCCTAGAAGAATAGTCGAGGTATACATAAATTGACACAGACACTCTCGAATACCAGTATATATACACCATCTATTTTCACTTTACTATATATTAGTTTGTTTGCATGGTTAGCTAGTGCATTTCTTCTGAATTTTATGAAATTTTAAAGTAAAATTGTTGCTGATTTAAGAGGAGTTATCTTCTCATAAATCTCAAAACAAATGAGACTTGTAACTTAGTCTAACTTCAAAGATGAATGTGTATTTACCTTCTACGCTATATCAAAATTTGATGAAAAAATGTTTGTCAAAAAGATTTGAGTCCAAGGAATCTTTAAAAACATTCATGAATTAGGAATGTGTTGGGCATTGTATATTAGAATAATTGTAATTGAATAATAATTTGGTTGGAACTAAGTTTGTAAGGGATAGGTTTGTTTGAATTTATGTAATGTAATAAATGATAGGGCGTCTTAAAGTACACCAAGACCAGCGCCGTCAAAGTCATGCGTCGAATGTTGAACGCGTAACAATAAAGCTGAAGCATTCTTCCTCCTACGCCTCTTTCTTTAGACTCCAATTAGGAAAGAGAAAAGAAAAGGCAATGACACAGACACGCAGTTAGTCTAATTGCCAATTCTTTCTTTATTATTTTAATTGCCATTCAATGACCGTTCCTTTGGTATATTCTCTTAACTACCCCTCTTACTTGTTGTATTTTTCAATATTATCCCCCATCTACTCAAATAGTCTAATTTCTTCACCTAATTACCATGCCAAAGCTAAGGATTTAAAAAATATAATCTTTAAATGAATACTTAAGTCTAAATCCCAATATCTTTCTTAGCATTTATTGATTATAGTAAATAAGTGAATTAATACGTTAATAAGTAATGTCATTCTAATAATATTCAATGTCAAATTGGTAATGACATATAATTAATAAAACAATATTATTTTGTAACATATTATATATCACTTTTAAGTGTTATTGTTTTAGTATTAACTATTTATCCAATTTATATGACTTTGTAATTTTAATTAAAAAACATTTCTTTTTATCAAATTTATTACTTTTATACATACGAATATGTTATTTTTTATTTTCTAGTTTGAGAGTTTGGAGTTAAAATAAACTATTTGAGTAATTAAGTGGTTGGTGACATATTACTATTTATTATTATATGTAAAATAGTGTTAGTATCATATGAGTTGAAGTCAGATGGAATACGATAACCTTTTCTCTCACAAATTGTGTTGTTGTGTTGAACGAGTGCTGTGCAAAATTAATTATAAAATCCTAAAAAGAATCTCTTGTGCCCCAACAAGAAATAACATAATATATATATGTTAGTGCATCTCTAACAATACTCTTTATTTTAAATAATATTTTTTATATAAAATAAGAGTATTTTTATTTATTTTTAAATATAAAGAACAAAATTTTTATTCAAATCTATTAGACTCTTTAAATTTTAGGAAAGAGAATATATTTTTTCAAGAAGAAAACTTAATATGAAAGATAAATTATAAAAAAATATATAAAAACTTGTAATTTATTATTTAAAATTATGATAAAGAGTAAAATTTAATTTCCTAAATGTGGAGATCAAACTCACCTTTTAATTTATATTTAAATAATAAAAAGTCTGTTACACTCTTGTTTCTATAAATAAATTTTTTATAATAAAGAATTTAGATCATATAAACTATAAAGAGTTATTTGAAGATAGTTTATTAAGGTAAAATAATTAAATAAATCCAACCCACCGACTCCAAGTGCAAACTATAAACAAATGGGGGCCAATTAATTTAAATAAATCACAATAAAAAACCTAACGAGAGGGGGAGGGGAAACACGGAAGAAAGTCAAATGCAAGAACCTGGGAGAGGCGCTCTATAAAGCAATGGCATTAGCCTCCATTCTCCACTCAAACAAATAAAGTCTCTATTTTTTTTTTCGTTCTTGCGCTCTTCTTTCATCTGGGTCGTCTTCTAAATCTCTCTTTGTTCTTTTCTTGTTTAGTTTAAAGAAAGTTCAAGATTGAGATGGGGAAGTATATGGAGTTATTGGATGCTGGGGTGAGAATCGCGGCAAGATTTCATTCTCACTGCCCACATACTGCTCGTTTGTATTACCATCCTCCGGCTAGCCACCACGAAGATCAGCACCACCAGGATCACCATGGTGGCGCTCACGCGGTGGTTCAAGATCCAACACGGATGGAGATTTCCAGTTGCGCTGTCAAGGCGGTCAGGGCGCTTGATACTTCAGATCAGCTTATTTTTTTTTCCGTTGTATGAATGAATGCGAAGTTTCAAAGTCGAGAGAAAAAAAAAAAAAAAAAAAAAGAATTCACACAACAGGAATATTTCAAAATTCAATTTTGACCCATTCATTGTATCTCATTGGTTAATGAAGCAAAACAATTCTTATTGCGTTCAAGGGATTTACATTATTATTTTTCTTTATTCTTTTGATTCCCACTCGTTTTTAAGCGTTATTTAATTCTTGTGACCAATAATTTTGATTTGGAGCGTGTGGCTGTTGAGATTTAGAATTATAAAATTATCTGTCAGTCGGTGCCGTTGGTGAATGAGATCTGAACAATTCAGTGAACATGAATACTTTTGTTTTTAGAATAATTTTAGATTCACACATTAGGTTTCTTGGACAGATCTACATCTACCACTGGAGTAGATTTTTATTGAATTGATTATTATAATTTGATATTGACGTCAATTCTGAAACAAAAAACATGGTTCATGTGCCATATATTATGGGTTCATATATCCACCAAATTTAGAATTAAAAATATAGCTTTTGATTATGATGGCCATATTGTTTGTCTAAACTTATAAATTCTAAAATTAAATTGATATATTTGTTTATAATATTTTTGAATTTATAAGCAAAAAATAAATAAATAAGTTGGGGGAGGAATTTTTTTTTTTTTTTTTTTGATTGTAAGCAGTTAGTTTGACCAAGTATATTACTATATTATCCTTATTTAATTTTAAAATTTCATAGTATACCATTTTTAATATAGTACCATTTTTAGTTATTTTATAATAAAATATACTTATAAGTCACATTTTATCAAACATGTTAATTACTTATCAATCATTTATAAATATTTTAACTAAATATGTAATTGCTTAAAATTTTAAATGCTTATAAGATAAAAAATTTAGCACAAACAAACACTCCCTTTATTGGTTGCTGTCAAATTTTACTGCTATTAAATTGTTTATACAGGAATATATTCTTAACTAGATATGTTAATATAGGAATTGTGACCTACCCAAGAGCTGGGAGCCTTTAGATGGTGGTCGACCATGATCTCATCAAAGGACTGCCAATCATCTGAAGTTGGGGGAAGCCTTGGAACTGGCGGTAAAAACCCCTCCAATGGCTGGGGAATCCCCAAGAAATTCAGGGGTTGGGGCCTAGGATAGGGAAGTTTTCCTCCTCAACCCCCATCATTATTTGATTAAATATATGTTATTTTCATACATATGAATTCTATACCTTTTTTTTTTAATTTATAAATTAAAATTAGATGAAAATGATTAATATTGAGTTTAATTTGATAAAAGAATAAGAAATTAAAGAATTGATTACAATTTTGAGAAGAGAATAAATCTTAGCCTCTTGTTTATGTTGTTGCCTTGTGTCATTAGATTATGAGTAATATTATATCCACCACAACCTCTTCTCACAATTTTTTTTTCACAATCCTAACGTAGCAACTCGCAATTAATTAGCCGCAATTTGTCAGGTGAAACCTATTACGAGCTGACCAAGTGTAAAGGGGTTACAAGAAAAAGTTTGTAAAAAATGGTTGTGAGTGTAGCATTATTCTTTGATTATTGAAAGTTGAGTAAAATTAAATGAGGGGAGGATCCATATGTGGGGGTTTGACATTTAATTAATATTGGTTTATAAAAGCTGAATTTTTTTCCTGTACATTACAATGACCAATAGTTAATCCAAAAACTTCTAAATAATACACTTTTAAAGAGTATTATAATCATTATTAATTTATTTCTATTTTAAAAAATAAGGAAAATGTGTTCAAATTTCCAAAAAAGAGAGGTATTTGTATAGATACGGGGATGGATTTCGTCTCCTACATGCAATTTACTCACCTCTTTTCCTGACTCCCAAATTCCCGGGATGGAGACAGTGGCCTCCAAATTTTAGATAGAGACAGGTTCGAACATTAAGTTTGGTGTTGGAGGATGGGACACGAAAAACATTCCCTAATAGTGTTTTAAAACCTGACTGGTTGAACCGGGACCTGGGACTCGAGGCCTTCATTGGGTCAAGTTACAATTTTTATTGTTCATCAAAACCCTAAAAATTAGGATGACGATCGACAAACAATTGAAAGCTGGGATGTTGGGGGTTTTGAAGAGGAAGAGCCAATGAATAGAAAGCTCTGTTTTAAAATCCGACCCGTTGTAAGACTCGACAAGGTGACCGGGTTGCGGGTCAACCGGTCCAATCAGTTGGACCGTTGATTGGATCGGTGAGATGAGATTGAAAGAAATTTTTGAGTCCATTTAATTGTGTTTCTAGAATTCAAAAATGCAAATGGAGTAATGGACGCATAGCAAAATGTGTTTTTATTGCAACTCATGGAGCCTTTATGTTTTGTTGGAAAATGAAGGCCTAATCTCAATGACACCTACACTGTCTATCATTTTAAATTATCAGATGATACGTGTACGCTCATAATTGTTGGCATGTGCGAGGTAGGGCAGGCATTGCTTAACTCTAGCCACGTGTGGGTGAGGGCATCTATGAATACTCTAGAACATCTCCCACACAACTCAAAAGATTTGTGACTATGATGGAGGCGAACAAAGAGAGAAGAGAGCAAGTGCAGAAGTAGAAGGTTGAGGAAGTTGAAAGAGATGCATAGAAGAACGATTTTGATACAAAAACAAGGGGTGTTGGAGCAATGGTAAAGGAGCTGATTCGTGAAGCTGACGTATTGTTGTAGTCACGATTTCGTTAACGAATTCTAGGTCTTCGATTTCGATGAAGAAGATTGGATTTCGATGGAGGAAGTAAGTTGAAGAAGATGAAGAAGATGAGGAAGTAAGTGTAAACTTTGAACTTCAGAGAAAATGAAAATGGAAGCTGCGGTTTGGAGATGAAAATGGAAGTTACGGTGACTGAAATGGCTTATGGTGAATGAAACCGATGCAAGGGAATTAAGATTAGGTGGACTGGAACAAGGGGGTGTTTGTTGAGCTTATGAAAATTAGCTTATAATCAACAAATTAACTTATAAGCATTTGAAATTTTAAGCAATTACGTGTTTAGTTAAAGTATTTATAAGTGACTGATAAATAGTTGATGTGTTTGGTAAAATGTGGTTTATAAGTACATTTTATTAGAAAATGATTAAAAAGTATATTATATTAAATAAGGGTATACTATAGAATTTTAAAATTAAACAAAGATAATGTGGTAACATACTTGGTCAAACTAACTTATAAATAGAGTGTTTATAAGCAAAAAAAAAAAAAGTACCTCCTCTCCAATTTTTTTTTTTTTTTTTTTTTTTGCTTATAAGCCCAAGTTATAAGCTCTAAAAAGTTATAAACAAATATGTTAACTTAATTTTAGAGCTTATAAGCTAGTTTGACCAGCTAATAAACTTAGACAAACACCCTCTAAGTTTTGGGTCGGTCAGACTGAATGGTTTGTACTGTAACACTGGTCCAAAGCGTCTCTTTTAGTATTAACGGGTTTAATAATATCCAGACCGGAGTGGAGTTCGAGTCCCGGTAGGACCGATCGGTCCCGGTTTTAAAACAGTGATAGAAAGGTGGCAATGAAGGTAATTTTCGGTGAGTAAAACAACCGAAAATCAAAAAAATAAATCGACGACAACAACGGGCTATTGTCGATGATTGGCGAGGCAAATAAGGGTAAGGCGAGATGGGTCTTAGTCAAGAGGCTGAGGAGAGACTTTTCGTGGTGATAGTGTGTTGTCAATGTCTGAAACATGCCCTATTTGGCTTCGGTTGTTGATGCTATGGTGTAATTTAAGATTTTTTTGTAAGATTTTAAACTTGTAGAGACTTATAGTAATTTTAGGGGTGTTTTTGTTGGATTTTAAACTTTTTTACATGTAGATGTCACTGATTTGATCTACCGGTCAAACCGGTTCAATCTATCAACCTGAGACCCGACCACTTTGCTAGGTTTCAGCCCAAGCCGGGTTTTAAAACCTTGTTCCCTTAACCTTATCCTACAAGATTGCCAACCCCAACTATCGCAATAATAACAATATAGCAAATGGTTTACTAGCAATGTTCCGAAAACCAGACCAGACTATGACGCGTTCAAGGGTCCGATTTCCGGTTTGACCTGTTGGATCAGTCAGTTGGACTGTATTCTGTAAAATTATTGTTAGTCCCTAAATGTTTGAAATTCATCAAAAACACCCATATAATACTCCCTTAAGGTTTGAAATCTGTCCAAAACACCCCTGTTGCGTGAAGAGACTGGTGATGGTGGCGGCAGCGACGATCAACGGCCAATCGAAGTTTGGAATCATGGGGCTTTTGATGTATAGGTGCCGACAAATCTGATGGTGGTGCTAGGGAGTTCCATCAGCGCCAGAACTCGTCGGAATCAAGAAAGAAGTTCGACAGTCGAGTGAACTTTAGGTGGATGACGAGCGACGAAGGCTGGACGATGACCATTGAAAATGGCTGGGTTTTGTAGTGGAGATGCCATCAAGTCTAATGGTGATGTTTTCTCCCTCAAACAATGCCGAAATTTGATGGGATTGAGTTGCAATTGGACCGCAATTCGTCACTATTCCAACGGTCCAACCGCGGCTCAATCTGGTTTGATTGAAAATAGCAGTTTTTAGAGGATACAGGACCAGATATGCTGCCAACTACTAGTCGAACCGGTCTGACCGGACGGTCTGGTCCGATGTTCAGAACATTGTTTACTAGTAGTGTTATTACTCACAAAACTGGTTTTACAATATTTAATGCTTCTAGCTTTGCCAGATACTGGAATTTGCAATTTTGTTGAAAGATTTTTATAAACGCTTAGGAATATTTTCCAAAAATTTGTAGCAGTATAGAGGCAGAATTTTCATGTATTCTTGCTTCATTTGACAGGAAATTTCAGCAAAAATATATAAAAGATAGAAATTGATGCATCCTAATACACAGCAGAACATTTCATCATGTCTTAAAATATCAAATTGAACGCAATGTTTCAGACATTTTACCATATGTTACAGAAGCCAGAAATACAGTAC